CAAATCTTCTCACCTTGATTACAGAAGCCAAGAAAAAGACAGACTATGGTAGTCCTACTTCAGAAACCAAATCAGAATGTGCAGAATGTGCACTTTAGATAACTTCCGAACCTGGCCTCCAAATTATGTGACTGGGACACACACCAATATGGTATTCCCAAAGAAGTTACATCACACAGACACCTTGCGACAGTGGATGTCATGATATCCTCAATGTTTTGCAATGCAACAGTGTCAGAAAAGTACACGAGGCTTGTCGGCGTCTCTGACGCGGAATGGATACCACCCACTCCACAAGGGACAGAATCTAGGAGACAGTTTAAGTGATGTTTAGAGGGCAATAATACTTTTTCCCTCCTTTCAGCATAAATATATAGGAACCTTGCCAATACATTTTTAAAACTATACTAACCTTGGATTTATGTTTAGGTAATTTTCAAATGAAAAGATTAAGAAATTAATTTTAAAACTGAAATATTTCTAACTTCTTAGCCACTATTATACATATATAACACTTACGCATTATTAAGTAATTTATACTGTCAATTAAAAGGCCAGAAATACTTCTATTTAATGGAATAAATGTCAGGTGCAAGGGCACAAATCATCTCTTCCATTGTTCCAGCAATACTATCATGACGACTAGACCCCATACTCAAGCCACACCAAATCTCTTCCGTCTCCACCAGCTCTCATTATTTATTGCATGCTTGCATGAATCCACTTAGCGATTTAATTTTAAATTATGTGCATATATTTTTGATAGGCAAAAGGCTAAAGGCAGAAATGACCACTATCATCATTTACAATGTGATATGCAACTGAAATGTTTCCACATATTTTTGCACAAGCATTTTTCTTTCTTTGGCATATCCCTTCCTTTCCCTCCTGCCTGAATTACCTCTATTCATCATTGTCATCCAGCTAATGTAGGGACTTTCTTTGAGGCCTTCCCTTATTCATCCTCCAATAAGTACTAAATTTTCTCTCTTCAATACTCTCAGTACTTCTTGTACATGACTCTGTACCTACTAGTGGGACATATTTGTTTACATTATTTATCTATCCCTCATCAGACTGTGAACTTTATATGGACAGGAACCATGGTCAATTCATCATAGTGCTTGGAGTATAGTCAGTATTCAAAACACCAATTGGTTTGATAAATGAATGATCTAGAATGAAGAAGCTTCTTTCATTTAATCTTTCCCAAAAATGTTTGGCATCTGTTCTGTTTCTACATACATCATTCTTCCCCATAGGTACATATTTAATTTACCTTGATATGGAAAAAGAATTTATAAATTGTAAAAAAATCACCAAAAAAAGATAGATTTTACTATAGAAATACTAAGAAAATAGCACCAAAATTTTAAGATAAATGGTAAGTAAAAAAGTTGTCTTTATTGAAGATAAATATCTAACATCACTATTAAACATTAGGCCAATCAGTGGAATGTCCACTAAAATAATAATAAGAGAATCCATCTTATGAATATTTTTTTATTCAATGCCATGGAGAATATAGCCAAGAGGATACTTACACACACAACTGGTGCGACACACTTTCTGCAGAGCTGGAGTAAAGAAATATCAGCCACTTTATGTTCTCAGACTCTTTTCCACTTGCCATTAAATGTATCACTGTAAGTTATCCATAAGTGGAAAGGACATGAAAAAATCCGATAGGGCTCTATTATTTAATAATCTTTTAAATTCTTTAAAATATTTTCAATGATATTACAGGGTGGGGCAAAAGTAGGTTTACAGTTGTTTGTATGGAATACAATAAATAATAAATTATAATACAAGACTAAAATCTGTTTCACATACTTACAACTGTAAACCTACTTTTGCCCCACCCTGTCTAACCAATGGTTATCAAAAGGGGATTCTCTGTTTCTGAACCACAGAAAGTTAAACTATTTCCTTTTCCCTGAAATGGTGCATGCCACCATTAAAAAAGATCTAAAAAAGATCTAGCAGTTCAAGAAGAAAAAAATCTCTTTGAAGACTGGCCAGTTCTTTAGCTTCTTTGTGACATCAAAGAAGCAAGTGAAATTATTAAATTCTCTTTGCTGCCATTTATTTACTTTCTAGTTGTACAGAAATAAATTGATCGTAGGTAAAAGACCAACATTCTGTGTTGAACTGTGCCCCCCGCTCCCCAAAAAATATGTTGAAATTCTAAAGATAGTACCTATGAATGTGACCTTATTTGGAAATAGAGTCTTTGCAGATTAAATAAAGTTAGGATGAGGCCAGGAGGGTGATCTATAATACAATACGACTGGTATCCTCAAAAGAGCAAAACAGAAAGAAAAGAATCTCATGAGCAATAACAATATGAGTAGATCATTCGTTGAACAAGGTAGCTCATCCAGCTGATACCAGTTAGTGACATCATTAGTACTAACCTCTCTCCTTATATGTCCATATTGTAACCACATTCAGCTGTCCTAATAAAACCTTCCCCTTAAACAATAGAATGCTTATATTTTCTGCAAAAATGTAAGTTGTGGTTAGAGATGAGTGGTAATGTAACAAGCATCAGTTGACTCTCATTGCTAGTAACAACTCTTGGTAATACTTGTTTCCCTTTAGACAGTAAAACATTTACTAAATGCCAGCCATATGTGTGTTTACCTGTTGTTTTAATAAAATGCAAAGAAAATCATAAATTTAAGGCCCTATATAAATTCTAAGAGAAATCAGTTATAACACAAATAACACCATAGTGATTCTTTAAAAAGGCATTATGATAATAAATTATCAGATAGAAAAGGTATTTTGTTATAATGGAACACAGCTTTTATATGAATTTCTGGCATTGAATAATTTTGGTAAACGAGTTTATTCTGCTGACATGTTAGTCAATTAACTACTATCATTCATGTTTACTAAAAGTCTTGCTTTAGTAGACCTAAGTCAGGAGTAACTTTGTCTGGGTTTGGATGAACTCAGCTAAAGTCATTACCATTCAACACTAGAAAATTAATTTGGATAAGAATCTCTTCTCATTGTACACATTCTAGGAAAGCAATCCCATCTACTACAACAGCCTCAATCTTCATCTGTGTTTATGATTTTTAAATCCATTTGCTAGCCTATAACTTGCTCTTTGATTTTAGACTTTATAGCCAATTGCATACTGGAAATGTCCATGTATAGATCTAATAATTCAAAACTAAATACATCAACTTTACCCTCCCACTCGATCCCACCATCATTGCTCCTTTTGTGCTCCCTTCCAGTGAACAGAATCCCCATCTATGCAGAAACCAGGACATAGCCTTCCTAGTCACAGCCTTTATTCAAGTAAGCAAAGTCTTGAGGGTTTTATGTATTTATTTTTTTACACAGAACAAGAAATTTTATTATCTCAAATGCTGGTGCATGACCAATAACAAGCTTAATTAGAGGCGGAGACAGAGGGAAATTTCAGAAATATCTGGATAGGTTTAAAACCTTTTAAGGTTGGTGGCATAATTGTTCATAAAGTCTTTCTTAAATGTACGACCTTCCTGACCTGGCCAGTTTGGCTCAGGAGTTAGAGCATCGGCCTGCAGACCAGAGAAACCAGGGTTTGGTTCCCACTAAGGGCACATACCTCGGTTGCAGTTTGTCCCCAGGCCTGGTTGGGGTCATGTGGGTGGCAGCTACTCGATGTGTCTCTCTCAGGTCAATGTTTCTCTCTCTCTCTTCCTCCCTCTCTCCCTCCCAGTCTATATGAAGGTAAGTGCAAACATGTCCTCGGGTGAAGAGAATGAATGAATGAATGAATGAATGAATGAATGAATGACCTTCCTTTTACTTGGTATTTTTCACTTAACAGTTCTTTAGTTACGAAGTTCAACCAGTGTTCTCCCTGTAAAGTTTAGTGAAAAATGGAGAACAAGTAAAACAAAAAATTTCTCTAGGATATAAAGGTATTAGAAATTGTTTGCACTTTCACATACGTTTTAATGTCTGAATTTGAGAATTTACTAAAGATTTCTACTTTAAAAAAAAAAAAATTCTCACCTGTGGATATATTTTATTCCATTTGTCTTCAGACAGAGTAAAAGGGAGGGAGGGAGGTAAAGGGAGAGAGGGAGGGAGAGAGAGGAAGAGAGGGAGAGAATCATCAATGTGAGAGAGACACACCAACTGGTTGCCTCCTGCATGACCCTGACCAGGGCTGGGGACAAACTGCAACTGAGGTACGTGCCCTGACTAGAATTGAATCTGTGACTCTTTGGTCCTTGGGCCAATGCTCTAACTGCTGAACCAAGCTGGCTAGGGCTTCATGTTTGACTTAAAAAATGGTCAAGATAATGAATTTTCTTGAATTACAGATTATGGTAGCTTTATAAATGACCAAGATACATGTACAAATAAAATTTCAGATGCCCTAGCAAACATGTTAAGATATAGTACACATGATACATATTTCTTTCGTGGTTTGCTTATACTTCTGAGATACTAAGAATATTCCATTTATCACACCAAAAATTTAGCCTCTGATAACTATAGCTTGGACAGCTCACAAAGTGGAATCATCAAAGTTTTTCCAGTAGTCTTTCTGTCCAAATAACTCAAAATCATCTGGTGCCCTAAGTTAGATACATTACTTTTTCTCATGTTATTAGTATCAGTGGGTTTTTTTACTGGCAGTTCGTCTTGGTCACGATTATTCTTACAAAACCAGTCCTTACAGTGAATGTGGAAGTAATTTTCCCCAATGCAAAGAAAATAATCTGGATCAATAACAAAGTCAAAGCCATAGGTATTTCAGGCTAGACATGTTTCAACAGACCTAAGATCCTTTTTCTTTAACAGTTTTTTTTTTTTCTTTTTCACAACTCTGTAGAAAATGCCTTATTCTATTCTGAAAAAAAAAAAAAATTTTTTTGAAAATCAAGTTTTTCATTAGCATGAAACTATTTGAATAAACCTAAGAGACAGTGTAATGGTAGGTCTCTCCTCAAGTAGTTTCCTCCTCTTTTAACTGCATTTAACTACTGTCTAGCAATAATCTCATCACAGCCGAGTTCTTCAGTTAGACAACTGACAACCATAAGTGAAACAAGCTCTTCAATAAAAGCCAGCTGGTTAAACAGGGTCATTTCATAATGCATCTGAAAACTGCCACTCAGTGCTGCTTCTCCTGCTCTGAATGGTCTCAGAAACATCCTGTTAACTTCTTCAAGGGCTGCTGATACTATGTAGCATGCACCACTCAGCTGCTCCTCCTCCAGACAGCTGTAGTTGTCCTCCCAGTCGTCAAATTCCTCACCCTGTTCCTTGATCTCCAGGTCAGGGCCAGTGATCAGGCCTGGCTGCTCCCTCAGGGTGGGCCAGTTAGCAAGGCCTCGGTCCCCTTCTGGTTCCACCATAGGCTGGACCCCCTCCTCCTCCACTGGGCCTTCCGCCTGGGGTTGTGGCAGGGTCCAGCTGCAGGAATGCTTCGGGGATGGCTCCTGCTTCCCACTGCCTACCTCCATCTGCAGAAGGTCACTCTCGCCAGGCATGCCGTCCACCTGCAGGTCACCGCTGTCTTCACACAGCCCGGACAGCTGTACTTCATGCATTTCCGACATTGTACCAGTGGCTCAACCTCTTGCAAGGCATTTTCCTTGAGGGTTTTATTTAACATACATCTCTTCAGCCCTTCTTTTTCTCCCCGTTACCCCTACTAGTTAGTCAGTCCCCAGCCTCATCACTGTAGTTCTGGCTTACTGCAACAGTCGTGTAACTGACCTCCTGGCTTCCAGTTCTGCAAATCTATAATTCACTGCCACATACTGACTCATCTAAAGCAAAAGTAACAGGTCAGTCCCTCTTAGAATCTCTCAAAAGCCTTCATCATTGACCAAACGATAAAATTAGAAATCTTCCATAAGACTTACAGGCCCTTCATAGTCCACCTCTCTGATAAACTCTTCAGTCATCTCTACCATCATGTCCCTCCCATTCTCCCTTTGCTCCTACACCACCATTCACCCTATCACTGGTTCTCCTTACAACACAGGATTTGGTCTTGTTTGGCTTCTTCCTCTAAGCCTCTGCACATACTCTTTCCTTTGCAAGAAACTGTCTTCCCCCACTACTCTTTCCCTAGTTAGCTCCTATTCTTTCTTCTCATTTAGCTAAGACATATCTATCACACTTCTTCTTCCAAGAAGTCTTCTCTGACTGTCAGCAACTCCATCTGTGCCCTCATCACAGTTCCCTAATTATATTGTAAGTGCCCATTTAGTAAAAAACACCTTTACTCCCTACTGTGGGAGAGCTCTGTGTTTGACAAGATTCTGCTTTCCTTGACTTTATCATCTCTAACCCATGAAGGAGGACATGGTAGAATTTTTTAACAGATATTAAATTAAGTATTTAATGTTCATATACTGGCATTAATTTCTCAGCAGTCCAAGGGCCAGCCTGTAATTATACACAAAATAAGTGATTCTAGACCTCTGAATAGTGAATGAATGTCTTCTTCCAAGCAGCTCGACAGACTTAAAGGGAGCCTTCCGACTTGTGCAGCAGCCCTAGCCGCAGAGCTGGGAAGCAAAGGGGACTCCGTGCACATCTCAGTCAAGACTCCATGGTTCGTTGCACCACCAGTGGCCTCCGAAGCCTCGCGTGTTTCTTGCATAGCTCCTTTCATCCACAGGGTGACCGTCTGCCGTAATGGGTCTCGCTTGAGGAATTGGCCCTACACAGATTCACAACTTCATTTTTAAAAAGGAGACATTGTTATTTCTCAAATGAAATCTATGGATGAAAACTTTATTTCAAAATAAACACCACCAGTTTGATTCTGTGTTACCAAAACAGCTGCCAATACCCACTGAAAAGAGCTGGTTCCATTTCCTTAAGGGCTCGTTGGTGGTAACATGGGTGAATATCTTTAGTTAGTCTCCTCATGATTACAGTTTTCACTGGGGTCCCAGACAGTCATGGTAATAAACTTAATTGCCAAAGTTGACATGTCCTCCCACCTTCCTCCACTCTGCTAAATTCTTCCCAAGCTACTCCTGGTTTCCTCTCAAGATTAGATACATAGAAAGATAGCTTATAGGTAGGTAGGTGGAAGGGTGGGTAGGTGGATGGAAGGATGGATAAATGGACAGTCATACCTACAGACATACAAGACAGGATAGAAAAATGGTAGGTAAATAACAAAAGCAAAAAAAAAAAAAAATTAAAGCAGAGAAACTGGTAAAATGACACATCTAATGATGCAAATTACTTGAGAAAATACTTTTGAACTACTTCAAAATGTCACTAGGTTCACCCCATTTTGTGAATGCCAGTATGAGGTGCAATGACTCAGTTACCTTGTTCCTTTCCAGACAAATGATAGTGTGTACACTATACTGGGAACTACCCAGACTATATAGTACATTGACGTAAAGATTTTCAAAACAATATTTACAGTTTATATAAATATTTATAGGAGATTATGGGAATAGATTCCTAGATGTCACAGCTATAATTTAAATATTATATTGTTAATCATAGTAAAATATTACATATTATACAACAAAACACCACCAGAGAATAGACAAGTGGAAATAGACATCTCCCTTTGGTGTCATGTTTAAGACCTTGCAGAGAATAACAGATTCTGAGTGGCAATTTGAAATTCTCCTGTACAGACTGTCATCTGAATGGTTTTGTCTTTTACCTTATCAACAGCATCTTCCATGCCATCGCTGATTAAGGCAATGCAGTAGAATGCTAGCGTTAGATGGGGTTCGCTGCCTGTCTGCACTGACAGGTGGTCCCTGGCTCTGTGTAATCTCACTCTCAGTAGCCACAGTGCTCTCTCAAACTAGTCATTTAGCGAATGACACATATATACTAAGAAATTCTCAAATATTATCACATTTAATCTTCAAATGGGAAAGTATTCCCATTTTACAGATCAGGAAACAGAGGCTTAGAAAGATTAAATATCTTCCCCAGCACCACACAGAGAGTAAGTGATGGCACACAGATCAAGACATTTCTTTCTGACCCCACATCTCACTTTCCTTCTATAGGACAATCTTAGCTTCTGGAAAGCAGATGCTTCTGGAATAAGGGAGTTGAAGCAAGGAGTGCTACACTAGAACAGCCAAAGTCCAGTCAAAAACCTGCTATCTCGGAAGTAGCCAGTAACCAAGTGTTCTAAGAGGACATGTTTATTAACGGCCATCCATTTCTGAAAGTATTTAATTGTTTCCATTGCAGAAGCCTCAGCCACAATCTGCTGATAGACACTGTGTTCCTCCCGTTACAATGACCACTTGCAGATGCCACAGTGGCCTATCTATAAACACAGGGCATCGGTTGCCCTTGGGATAACTTCCAGACACTTCTGTGATTGTAGTTTTGTACAATTATAACCTGCTTTGGTTTCTTCACTAGGAATAAGAGCCAAAGAGTTCCTTAAGCTGGCATTTTGAAATCAGCACTCCTCATCTATTTTTTATTCAAAGTTTTAATAATATTTTGTATAGAAATATCAATTTTTCAGAGTAATTGTTTTCAGATTATTTTTATTGTAGTACAATTTCCATGGGATAAAATGCACAGAACTAAAATATTTGGAATAATAAGTCTTGATAGCTGTATCATACCTATGTAACCACCACACAAAATAAAATACAAATAATTATCATCACCCTGGGAAGTTCCCTCATGCCCCTACCCCAGCAATGCATTGCCTCTGCTCCCACATTCTACCCCCTCCAAATCCAAATATGTTCTTCTATCCCGTCCAAACTAAAATACTTTTCTCTATCAGTCACCACAGGTTAGTATAAAATTGATTTCTTTTGCTCAGCAATATATTTGTAAAATTTGTCCAAGCTGTTACATTCTCAGTAATATTTTAATCTTACTTTTTTGAAATTTATTGGACAGAGAATGAACTTCATGTTGTTGCTCACAGAACAATAACTGTTCTTTGGCAAGTTCACCAATTTTTTTTTTTTTCAGTGAACTGGAAGCATCTATATTTGACTAATTGGATATTTCCAAAGCACAAAATCAGCTGTGGGGGAAACAGCATCAATACAGGAATAATAGGCCAGTTATTGGCATCAACTGTGCTTATCTGACTAAAGTTTGAAAAACATTCAGACTTCACTAAATGCTTTAGTTTAGGATATTCAGCTAGGCACTTACTTTTCTACATTATAAGAAACCAGTGCTGACTCTAATGCAACACTGAGCATGAATTTGCTTCTGCCACTAGAAAACAGTCATCAGAAGCATTACATTGTACCCACACAGATACAATTTAAGCACTGAGTTCAATGACCTGCAGAAAAATGTATTTCTCCCATCACATGCTGCAGTCATCCACCCACAATTCCCACTATAACATACGTATTTTTAAATACAAAGTATTAAGAAGCACAGAAAACTCCATTTCCCTTAAATCAACCAAGGACGCTTTAAGACCTTGACTACCACAGTAGCATTGGCATAAGTAACTGAAATGCATCGGTGTGATAATGTAAAATATGTCAAGAGTTACAGAGAGGATCATCCCCGTGATATATGTTGTCCTTTAGGTATAAAACTATCAAGAACAAGTTGATATAAAGCCCAGTGGCTACTGTAAGGTATGCATATACTATTTCTTATTTTTTAAAGTAGCAAAATATATTTTAAAGCAAGTGTACTGCTAAGGATTCCGAGTTCAGCTCAGGCTTGATTCCTTTATTGAGCGTCATGATAGAATCACAGTGTTTGACTGCAAAAGACCCCAGTTTTCTAAATGCCTTGTTATACTGATGAATAAATGGAGTCCTCAGGAATATGTCACTGGTCAAGGGCAGAGCCTACAGTTGAACTCTTGTGATCCTAAATCCTCTGTATTTGCCGTGATAACACAGATATTGCTTTGCTCTAAAAATCCTTGTACAACTACTCATGCCTACAAAGCTTATGTTGATCCTTACTCCTATTTCTTTTCCTTTTTTAAATTTATTTTTTATTGTTGAAAATATCACAGATGTCCTTCCATTTTTTCTCCCATTGACCCCTCCTTCCTGCTCCCACCCTCCTCCTGCTTTCCCCAGACTAATGTCTGTGTCCATTGGTTGTGCATCCAATTTCCTTTCAAATTTTATAACAGTGTCCTAGACTTTGTTTCAGTTAGAGAATTATAGATAAAACCCTTTCCAGAGGAAAACAAGACAGCATCTCTTTTTGAGCTCAAAACAATAAAATTGTAAACTATCCAGCCCATTACTATCTTTCACAGTCCCAGTCAATGCTGTTTCTGAGAATACAACCTTATGGTACAGAGAAAAAAAGGGGGTGGGGGGATAAGAAATGGAGAGTTCAAAGAACTATCACTAGAAACAGTCAACTGTTCGCTGTCCCTGCCGATCCAGAGGCAGACGGGAGCCAGTGCCCTGAATGTCAACACCAACTCTACGGGGCAAGGCCTCCGTCTTCACGGCCCTACTGCTGCCAAAGCCAAGATCATACTGCAGCTTTAATAGCATAAATAAAGTTTCTTATATGCATGCCAGAGACTCTGGGATTCCAGAGGAGTCCAGAGAATATATACAAGACCCCTGTCCCAGACTAGAGA